AAATGTATTGTTGAGCTAGCCACATGCAGAAATATTGCTTTTTTCTTCTGGAGCAGCTGTACCATCGAAGGAATATACTCTACGTTTAAAATCAGCAATTTTAAATTTTACAATGGTGGTTTCCAACCTTTTTTTGACCAGGGAGCATTTGACCAGTGACCACTTTGATCAGGGACTACTAGAGCAGGGATCACTCTGACCAGGTACCAAAATTGTAACAAATCAGGTTTTGGTCAAGTTTATATTCTGTTTGGTTATTTGGGGTGCTGATTCAGAAAATTGCATTGGATAGACCACATCAGCTCTAGTTTCTGATACAGAACATAGGCCATTCAGTAGTTGCATCTGCTAACCCACAAAAAACCATATTTAATCATCTAGAGCTGATGTGGTCTATTCACATCAGGCCTAAAAACGAAGACATCAAAGCACCCCCACTTCCAGGTGCCACATGGAACAGCTCCACTCAGGGGGAGGGAGGAGAAGAAGCATCAGTCAGGTTGCTTCTGCCTTGGTTAGACCACACCTGGAATACTGTGTCCAATTCTGGGCACCACAATTGAAGAGAGATATTGACAAGCTGGAATGTGTCCAGAGGAGGGTGACTAAAACGATCAAGTGTCTGAGGACAAGCCCGATGAGGAGCGCCTTAAAGAACTGGGCATGTTTAGCCTGAAGAAGAGAAGGCAGAGAGGAAACAGGATAACTATGTATAAATATGTTAGATTTTAGCTATTCTTGTAAGCCGTTCCGAGCCCCAGGGGAGTGGCAGCATATAAGTTTAAATAATAAATAAATAAATAAATAAATAAATATGTGAGAGGAAGTCATAGGAAGGGGGGAGCAAGCTTGTTTTCTGCTGCCCCGAAGGCTAGGACACATATTAATGGCTTCAAACTACAAGAAAGGAGATTCCAGCTGAACATGAGAAAGAACTTCCTGACTGTGAGAGCTGTTCAGTAGTGGAACTCTCTCCCCCGGAGTGTGGTGGAAGCTCCTTCTTTGGAGGCTTTTAAACAGAGGCTGGATGGCCATCTGTCGGGGGTGCTTTGAATGCGATTTTCCTGCTTCTTGGCAGTGGGTTGGACTGGATGGCCCACAAGGTCTCTTCCAACTCTATGATTCTAGGAGGCTTGTTGTTGTGTCTTTTGTGGGTACTCAGACTCTACCCTCCTGACATCCTCATTGCGTCAGCACTATAAGAGGGTTTCGTGAAACCAGCCGGTCTTGTTGGAACGGTGTAGTATGTGGACCATATTTTACTTCTTGGGAACTACTGATGGTCACGGACCACAGGTTGGGAATCACTGTTCTACAACAACATTTGCCAGTTTCCAAGGCAGGCTCATGTCGTTTTCTTCTATGCAAATGTCCTCTAGCAGTACTTTACATATATTTAGATTTGCATGACTTGGGAATGGAGGAGGTTTAAGTTCATGCTTTCACTGCATTATCTTCCCTGGCCTCAAGATCCTTTTGATTAACAATGTTGGAATAAGAGCTTCCAAGATCAAAGCATGAGGACTCTGACTTGAGGGAATAATCTGCAATCCCTTTTAGGATTTCCAGCTCCCTCTGAGGTTTGCTGAAAGAGTCCCCACAGTATCTGGAAAGAAATTTATTTTCCCATCGATATATTATCATGAGCTATCCTTATTGTACTATATGCGAAGAATGAGGAGTGCTTGGTTGCATGGTGTTCTAGTGGTGAAAGGACTTGGAGCAAAAGCACTTTAATTACCAAGGACTGCACAACCATCTGTCTCTCCAACACAGAGAGAGACACACACCCTGGTTCCCTTTGAGATTAGCAGCAATCCTCGTGTTAACTGGGGAGAAAATGGCTTTGACCAAAAAATGAATACATTGTTGCATTTTATCACTTTTCTAATGTAAAGTATTTGGGAGATAATTGTGTATTGGTTAAGTAATCAAGGTGTATTAGCTTCACAAAATACACAGTTGCAGCCGACAAAATTCCTAGAACTCTTGGATTGCTTGGAGATAACAGTATTTCTCCATGGTGACAGGAAAAGTAAGTTCTAGAAAACTCAATTTAAGAACATGTTGATTCCTTCTCTTTCCCCTCCTTTCATAAGTACCTGTGTTTCTATACATGTCAGCGCTTCATTGGTTTATATAGTGGAATGGGATATCAAGGTAGGGGAAAAGATTTTTTGGGTACAAAATAAGACAGAAGACGCCCCTCTCCAACATGGGGTTTGGCTCCTTCCATTCCAAAATAGGATAGCAAAGCCAAAATGTAAATAGGCTCAAAATTGGACACAAATTAATGGGGTAATCCAAAAAATTATTAAAACCAGAAGTCATATTACTAGGTTTACCGTTGGATGTTCAAATAAAAAAGAAACATGAGAAAATCCTGCAATATGTGTTAACAGCTGAAAGAATCCTTTATGCTCAACAATGGGAAAAGGCAGAAATACCAACTATGGAAGATGTGGACAGTGAAAATCTGGGATCCAATAGAAATAAACAAGTTAACAATTTTGTTGAGGGATAAATCATGGAATACATTCTTAAAATAATGGAAGCCATTGTATCAGTATATGTCTGAGGGAGAGGAAAAGACTTTATGTACAGGTTTCGAGATCAGGACTGTTGGGATATTCATTTGTTAATGTAAAAATAAGCAGAATTTAATAATTCATTAGATATAACATGGAAGAAAAATGCTAAACTAGTGGAAAGCAACAAAAGGGATGCAGAAAATCCTTGTTTAAAAATTACTGAATGTATGTGTGCTTGGATTTTAATTACATCTAATTAGAGTAGAGATGTATGTTGGTAAGAGAAATCGTGTAATTAGTTATGTAATTTTTGTTCAAGTATGTGTGTATGTAAGTATGTATGTATAAAATTCTCATCAGATTTAGCCAACATAGCCAATGATGGAGTATCACAGAAAGCACAGTACCACAACATCTGGAGGGCCACAGTTGCCCATACTTACTTCCAAGTGTTAGCACCAGACATTTGGAAGCCATATATGTGCTAACCAGACATGGGAAAACTTTTGGCCCTCCAGGTGTTTTGGATTTCAACTCCCACAATTACTAATAGCTCAATCACATCACCCACATCTCTGTTCATCTCATATTTGAAGCCACTGCCCAAACTCTCCATAGGTATGAAGGCAGTGGATCATCACACATCTTATACATTACACTTCTCCAAAACGGGCACCATTCAAAATGTCCTATTCTCGGGGCAATTCTTCAAGAACCAGATAAGTCAACTTTAGGCAGAATCGACAAAGCAAACAAAATCTTGCAACAAAAAGAAAACCTTTCCAAGAAATTTTCCAGTTAAAATGTCTCTAGAATAAATATTTGGCCATTTTATTTACATTGCTTATAGAAATGGCAATGCGATCCTTTCCCCCCCTTCTCAAGTGCTTATGTAATTACTTGCAACAATTTCTCCGATGCGTAGTTGCATCATTTGCACCCATTTTCTACGAAGCCCAAAATGCTCAGTTTAATATAAGAAATAACATAGAAGCTTTTGTGCTTATCATTTAAAATTAAAACAAGGTAGTTTCATTTTGTGATTCTTTCGTTTCTTCCTCCTTTGGACAAACAGATTATATTATCGCAGCTCAAGCTTTTAAGACATTTTACTTGCGGCATTAGATTTATGTAATCATGTAAATCATTTTATTTGCATGATTTTTACCACATTTAGTGACAATAAAGAACAAAAACACATACAAGTGAAGGTCATGATTCTGAAAAAGTCTAATATGTCCCTTAATTCCACTTCCTTGTCCTTCTTGTGTTGAAAAGCATTCTACAAATCTATTAAAGTAGCAGGCAACAACAGCTGGGCAAAAAAGGGACCACAAGATTTGACCACAGAAAGATCTAAGTATATGATATTCTCTTTATAAAGCATTATTTATAAACTACAGAGACACAACACATCATTAACCTTCCTGAAGCTTTCAGGCTATCTCTATTTCAGCTTAGCCTATTAACAAGTATATAGTGTTCCCTCGCTAKTTCACGGTTCGCTTTTTGAGGACTCGCTGTTTTGCTTTTTTTAWWWAAAAAAAAAGAATTTAAAATATACAAGTAGTGAGGGAACACTGTATACCAGTTACATGTGGTCGTGGTTGGTTAAAATCATCCTCTCCAACACCATGTTTCCGAGCGCAGCCACCGGAAGGCGAGGAAGGCGAGCGGGGAAGGAGGAGGGGAGGGGGAGCCAGGCACATGAGGAGGAGCCAGCGGGAAGTGTGGTCTGCAAGGGGAGGGAGGGAGGAGGAAAGAGGAGAGGAAAGAGAAAGCGAAGGGACTGAGTGAGTGAGAGAGAAAGAGAGAGAGGGGAGGGGAGKGAGGAGTGGGTGGAGCCACTCCTAGGAGGGGGCAGTCCTACACCTCACGCACTCTGAGGCTACATATACTGTATAGTGTCCCTACTTCGCAGTTTTTCACTTATCGCGGGTGGTCCTGGAACGTAACACCCAGGGCTGTAGCCAGAAAAAAAATGGGGGGGGGAGGGGAGGTTGGAACTTCTTTTAGCAAATCATGAAGAGTAGTTCGATAACACAACAACATTTTAATACAGTCCAAAGACCCTTATTGCTCTGTAAAAGGTATGAGATACAAGGTATGCAAGGTTAGTAAGGCCAAAAATAGCACCAAAAAAAGTGATAAGTGAGGGAACACTGTATTGCCCAAAGTGGAAGTCCATCATAGTTTTACATGCATAGGATCATATAGACATGTATATTTTTAAATACTTCCATGTGTTGACATTAGCCACAAAAGCCACACTCCTCTTTTGCAACATGGAAATATTGAAAAGCCAGCCAAACGACAAAAAGGAAATCCACGCTTCACCAACACATGATCACTTCCAATGAAAAGACTTTAACACAACTGAAGGCAACTTCTCCTTTACTAGTTACCACCACATACATCTCAATTTAGGATACAGCAAAAAAAATATAGTAGCTGTACGGTACAACTTACGCAAATTATTAGCCGGTGGTCTTGTCTCCATGTTTTCATAATGTTGCACATGGACTACGATATTGAGATCTCTTTCCATATGATCTGTTGTGCAGGGAGCTTCTGGGCGCATAACATCAGCAAGAGCTCTAGAGAATTATAAAAAAAGAGTAAGAAATTACAGGAGATACACATTTCTGTGAAGCTACATCATTGGAGATAGTTTTCTGAATGTTAAGTTTTGGTGCAATAGATTATTCCCTGTAATAGAGGATATTATTCCCTGTAATAGAGGATATGAAGTCCAGAAGCCAACAGAGATTAAGGCACAATGTATTTTAATAAATATGTATCCTGAATTCCTCCTGAATGGGAGCTAAGGTGCCTTACAACATAAATTCAAAACAAGATATATAAATTGAAACCAATTAAAACTAAAAAAAAAACAATTAAGTAAACAAACATATTAACATATCAGTACTGTACATATTTCATGGTGGCGCAGTGGGTTAAACCACTAAGCTACAGAACTTGCTGACCAGAAGGTCAGTGATTCAAATCTACAGGACAGGGTGAGCTCTTGCGGTTAGCCCCAGCTTCTGCCAACCTAGCAGTTCAGAAACATGCAAATGTGAGTAGTTCTATAGGTACCACTTTGGTGAGAAGGTAACAGCATTCCATGCAGTCATGCTGGTCACATGACCTTGGAGGCATCTACGGACAACACCAGCTCTTTGGCTTAAAAATGGAAATGAGCACCACCCTGCAGAGTTGGACTCAACTGGACTTAATGTCAAGGGGAACCTTTACTTTTGCCATACTTTAAAACAGATTAGATCTAAATCCATTAAAAGCATCCTGGAATTTAAGCAGGATCAGCATTGATTAGATTCCTAAATACTAAATACTAATTTAATACTAAATTCTTCAGGTTATATTTCAAAGGAAGGATCTGGCAGAATCACATCTGAGTAGCCTTTGCCTCATTAGAGGGGCCGCTGTAAGTGGAAAAGGCACATGTGCACACTTTAAAACAATATTAAGTCTTGTAAAAATATGACAATAATAATAAATCCTATTCCGCATTCTCTTGTATAGCTGTTTTATTTCAAATGCATCAGACTTGGCCACGGTAGTCCATGCTCTGGTTACATCCCAAATAGATTACTGCAATGTACTCTACGTAGGGTTGCCTCTGAAGACTGTTCAGAAGCTTCAGCTAGTCCAGTGCTCGGCAGCCAGGTTGCTCACGGGAGCAAGATACCGAGAGCGTACAACGCCCTTGCTTTGCCAGCTCCACTGGCTGCCTATTAGCTTCCTAGCACAATTCAAAGTGCTGCTTTGGCCCATAAAGCCCTTAATGGTTCTGGCCCAGTTTACCTGTATGAACGTATCTCCCTCTATGAACTACCTAGGACCTTAACATTGTCCGGGGAGGCCCTGCTTGCTGTGCCACCACCACTGCAATTGTGGTTGGTGGGGACAAGAGACAGTGCCTTCTTCATGGTGGCCCCTCGGCTATGGCATTCCCTCCGAAGTGAAATCAGATCTGCTCCATCCCTCCTGACTTTCCAGAAAAAAGTGAAATCCTGGCTCTGGGATCAAGCCTTTGCGGGTTACACTATCTTGATGGTGAAGCTATGGTTTTAATGGATTCTGGTGGACTGCTCTTAGGACAATGACTTAAATTGGCGATTGTTTTAATGTTTTTATAATGTTTTATACTGCTTTTACTTTATATGTATACCTATGGTTTGTTTTTGTTTTGTTTTGGATGTTTTTAGCCGTCCTGAGTCCCTCTGTGGAGGTTGAGATAGGACGGGATCTAAATGTCCTAAATAAATAAATAAATGCTGAAACAAAAAGATAGCAAGCAGAAGGACAACCCTGGTCAACTTTCTGGCCATAGTGTTCTGGACCCACCAGCATTTCTGAATACTTTCCAAAGTGGGCACATCCACGTACACACATTGTTAAAATGGGATTTAATCAAGTCATAGGCTACTGTAGTCAGATCTGACTTCTCCAAGAACAGGCACAACTAGTGTATTAGTTTTATATGTGCAAATACATTCCTGGAATATGGCATTCAGACATAAGTACATGCAAACTAAAAACTTAGATTTCAGAAGTGTGGCTCCGTCTTAGATCTGCCTTTCAACTGTAAAAAGAATCCTTCTATCATGTCTGCACTGAGCCTCAGTTTGTTGGCCCTCATACCGTCCATGACTGCACTCTGCTACTGAACAACTAACCCAAGAAATGTGATTTTAAGTCTGTAGTACAGTGTATTCCTTCACAGTTAATCCAGCAAGATGAACAGAAGCAAGGTCACAGAATCACAAAGCTGGAGGATACCACAAGGGCCATCTGGTCCAATGCCCTGCCATGCAGGCACACAGAATCTGAGCTAGTCGCAAGGGAGCCAAGGAGTGCAAAGACTCATTAGACAAAAGGCCAAGTTTCACAAATGCCAAGAGCACTTGATAATCACAGAGATAGAATGGCTGCAGGGAAGAAAGCTTTCAGGGAGATTTATATGTAGCCATCTCTGATCCACTAGTATGCCCAATTCAGAAGGCTATGGGATCTACAAAGCTTCTCCTGATTTCTTTGGTGAGTTTCAAAGAAAGAGGCAGTGCCCTTTCTGGCTCTTCCTGCTTGTTTCAGCCTTCAGCTCATCAGGTTTGGAGAGACCGCCACTACCTGGAGCCTCTCCTCTGAGTCCATTTCTTCAGATTGCAGAAGGTGAGTCGTGACAATTAGTGATAACAGTTTCCCTTGAATTGGATTTAACGGAAGGGACAGAGTTGGGTACAATCACCATACTGATGACACAGAACCCCAGACTGCGGCCAACCTTTTCCATGGTTTCATGGATATGATGGACAGCATAAACGAAGTCCTGAGGGAGCCAACAGAACAGTGGCAAGGATGTCTAACAAGAACCTTTCAGCAAAGCCTTCTAGATTCATCCCTCTAAGAAGGACCAGAACCACTGTGAAATACCGCCTTGAGTAGGGAGCACAATAGAGTACCATAGTTGATGAAATTGAAATCCACTTAGAGATAATAGCAGAAGCAACTGTGGATTGAATGAAATTGTGTGTTTGGGGTTTGGCTAGGGTCTTTTAAGATCTGGCAGGGCCAAAGACACCATCCAAAAAAATTAGAACCTGGAAAACTGCATTATGGAGAACAAAAGAGGTAAAGAATTTGGCATGAAAAGTGCTAATGAGAAAGCTACTGAATTGACAATTACTGACCTGAGAACTTTTGGTGTAAACAACACATGTTTACATAGACAAAGACAATGACTCTTTAAGTTAAGGAGGTTAAGCCAGTGATTCTCAACCTGTGGGTCCCCAGATGTTTTGGCCTTCAACTCAAATCTAACAGATGGTAAACTGGCTGGGATTTCTGGGAGTTGTAGGCCAAACACCTGGGGACCCACAGGGTGAGAAACACTGAGTTAAACAATGACTCCTCAAGTTAAGGAAGTTGGAAAATATCTGTTCTGGAAATGATGAAGCTCCAGCAAGTCTGAGCTGAATAACAGGTTATCAAAACAACCAAATAATGAATAACCAAGAATTGCTACATAAGGAGACCATTTTCCTTTCCTCTGTGTGCCAAATCTACAGGAATGCAGCATGTTTGGGAGTGAATGCTGAGTAAATGTGATGTTTCCCCTTTGTCTGTGTAATCAATATAGTTATTATGAAACCAATACTGGGTCTGTGTGTCTACTTCTTTTTCTCAAAGTACCTGATTCACTCTGTCCCACTGAAAACAAATAAAATAATATTTTTAAGGTTCAAAAAGTATCTATGACAACTGTCCCTATGCATCTCTCAGCAGAGGTCATCCACCAAGGCAACCAAGGTCTTCTCCAACTATAACTAGGCTGAAAGCTGGGTTAAACTGGATAGAGGTAATCAATTTCATTCAGGAACCGCTAAAGTTCTGGGGCTACCACATGTTCTAGAACCTTACCCCCAAAATAGGAGCCCCCGGTGGTGGCAGTGGGCTAAACCTTGTGCCAGCAGGACTGAAGACCAACAGGTTGGAGGTTCAAATCCAGGGAGAGCGCAGATGAGCTCCCTCTATCAGTTCCAGCTCCCCATGTGGGGACATGACAGAAGCCTCCCACAAGGATGGTAAAAACATCAAAACATCCAGGCGTCCCCTGGGCAACGTCCTTGGAGACAGCCAATTCTCTCACACCAGAAACGACTTGCAGTTTCTCAAGCTGCTCCTCACACGACAAAAAAAACCCCCCAAAAAACTCCAAAATAGATAGTGGAGACTGGACAATTTGATTCTGAGACAGAAAATGGACTTTGAGGTTTTTTTCTTCTTCTTCAAAACACCATTAATTACGGAGTTATGCAAAAAACGCTCAGGCTTCTGCTCTCATTCTCTTTGCTTTATGATCCGATGGCCCAAAGAGTGGCCAGTGCATGATGGACAGCTGCTTTTGCCTGAAATGCCCACATGCCCCTATTTAGAAAGCAGGAAATGATGTGATCAAGCAAAGCCATACCTTCCTGATCAGACAATCAAAAGAAAGGCAAATGTCCATTTCTCATTAGGCAGAAGGGTCATGAGATGATGATGCCCACTGCTAGGGATAAAGTGAACTATAAAGTGAACTATAAAACCATGGTTGTAGCGTTGGCCAGTGTCCCTCCTACATAAGATAGACTTGCACCCACATGCATGTACTCTGTTCCCCCCCCCCCCCCCAATATCTATATCTATATCTAGCTTTTCTGTAAGCCTGAAACAAACTTTATACTCTTGATTCAAGAAATGTTTGGTCATGTTTGCCTATCCTTGAATCTTCTGAAGCTGTTCATCCTGGCCTGGGGTGACACGATAAAGGGAAAGATTGAGCAATAAAAGCGGAGATGTGGCAGTGAAGAGTGGGAGGAGAAAGCGATGTGTCAGAAGGTCTGGTTTCACATTACGCTAGCATGTTATCTTCAGGTTCAGTGGCACTCCTGTTAATCACCATGGAAGAAAGATTCAATCAATCCAATAACACCATGTAACATGATTTTTGTTCCTGGGTTAGAAATGTCATTTCCTAATTGGTTCTACCACAAAAACATTGAAAACGTTTCTTCAATTGCAAGCACGTTGT